AGGGCATGGCTTGGCCAATGCTGGGAAGGCGCGAAGCCAAAGGGAGGTATTCTTTAGTAATCTTATAGCCAGGAACACAGAAAAGGAAATGGCAAAGCCACATGAGGTAAAAGGTAGCCCTTTCTTGGTCCAGTGACAGGAGTAACCCTATTTGCTTTCGTAATTTTTGGTAAAGTCAGTGTAACTCATGCCAGTCTCAAGGGTGAAAGGTACTTTTATGGGTTCTAGCAAGGCACTAATTTTTCTAGCCCTAGAATAGGAAGTCCGGTGAGGTGGGCTACATCAAGGACAGTTGGTGATATCATTCTAAATCTTAAAAGCATGGAATTATGGGATGTGTGGACCAGAAGCATGCAGCAGCGGCTATTAACAATTTATTCATATCGAATTTGAAGGTCGACAAACGGATTACCTCAGTGATGCCAAGATGTTTCCACACATTGAAGTCATGACTCCAATTCGTTTGACCTAGCTCTAACCAAGTGGAGTCTGATTGTCTCCATGATCGAAAGGGATTTTTGCTACTCTCCTAATTGGTCCAGTTCAGTCTGGGTTGTTAATGAGCAAGGTTTCACCATTGGCAAGTGAGTAAGTAATGGAGCCAATTCGTCGGGGAGTGTTGTTTGGAAGGTAGGGCCTAGTGTTGCTTTGGCCACAATGTTGTTGCTTGGCATCAAATGCAGTCAAGTTTCAATGAGTTCGTAAGGTTCTCTAATGCGTTTTGGAAAATCAAAGTTGGTCGTCATTGGTTTCATCTTCTTTTGGTGGACTTCGATTTTCTTCGGTGCATGGGTTAGGGTTTTAAGATGGGAATTTTTGAGCGTGAGCTAGCACAGTTCGAAAGTTTTGAACAAAAGTCTTTCTGATGTATAACGCAAAAAGAAAGTTTTCAGAGAAGAAAGAAGGGTTGAAGTAAGATGAAGTTTGAAACTATGTTCCGTTTTTAAGTTTCGTCAGGCCTTGTGGTTGGTGGTTTGAAATTTAAAAAATTGTTTACTACATGTGCGCCAAAAGCCAGGTTTGTCAATTGTTATATTATTTAATTTGTGTTTTTGCTTTCTTAGGTGGAACACATTCTAAGACTTAACAGTTTTATAAAAATAAAATGTCAACATCATCATGCTTTTTGTCCATTTAACCTATAAAGTCAAACCAAAAGCGCAACTTCAATTTTAATAATTCGCATTTTTATATGTACTCTATTTGATAATATTTAATTTTCAAATATTTTTCTTTTCATCGGTGTATATAGTCCTTGTCTTTTAAAATTTCTTCTATCGTAGGGGATATTTGAAAATAATTATTATGATATATAGAAACAAATTATGCATTTTCCACCATTTACCTATAAAGTTTCTAGCACAAACTAAATTTCAGAAAATAATAAATCCCTTTCATATAGGAGTCGGTTTGGATAAATACTTCTTTTCTAAAAAAAAATTCATCGTGTTAGTTTTAGTTTTTGTCGTTTTCAGAGATTTCTTCTATGTACTTCATATTTATTAATTATTATGATATTGCAAAAAAAATAATACTTCATTAGGGGTACAACATATATCTATTAATTATCTTGCAAAAAATAAATGAATGAATAAATAAATAAGACAAAATGTGCTTATTTAATGTGCATAGCATGGATCAAATATCTTTAATTCAATATTTTGTATTTGTTGTCTATCTATTTATGGCTTCCTATTCATTTATATTTCATGTTTTATTTAACATAAATCTTGGTACAAAATATATATATATGTAATTTACATTTATATATCTAGTATGCAAATATTATATAAATAATTCAATACTGAATATTAAAGGAAAAAAATCATAACTCTAACGTTTTTATTAATTTTATATCAGTCCATTACCCACATATGTGTGTACAACATGGTTCACTTCATCTCCTCTATCGATTGTAAATTTGTTCTAAAGCAGTCCTTGTACTTCAAGGCTAATGTGATGTTGGTTAATGGTGATTTTATGCAACCATGACGGATCAATGAAAAATTGCAAGGTATTACAGGGCTTAAACAAAAATAAACAAAATTACAATATCAGATGCATCATCAGTAGCGTCTTCTTAAGAGTAATCTGTCTGTCAGCATGTAACGCCCTCAAGAATAATAACTTTAAAACCATTAAATAAGACATGGCATTGATATTCAAAAGCTTCACATTCTTTCATTTATCAGGTTTTCATTACAAAAAGTATTACATGTTAACAACAAAAGCAAAATGCCTATGGCTTACAGCTTTCCAAGTTACACTTGGTTAGCAAACAAAAGAGTAACTAACTCAAACACGTTAAGCCCTTGGCTGAATTTACATGTAATAGCAATCAAAAGTAAAACAACAAAAAGTCCGCCTCTGCTCACCAAGCTACGCTTGGAGGTGGCATGCTACCTGTACCTGAATTGGCCCTTCCTCCTTACTTGCTCGCCACATTTTACAAAGGCATGTTTTTCCCTTGTTGATAAGAAAATACCCGCCAATTGTGGTGGGTCATTCTGGCTTTTCCAAGCATGGTTGTATGCTTATTTTCCTGAAATACGACCTCCCAAACTAAACACTATGATCCCCAAGCATTACTCTTATGCAGAATGTTTCTTAACCTTTGTTGACACGCCCAAACTTAGCTTCTCTAAATGTCTTACTACACTCTTGAACTTTCCATCTGACAAAGACCCCCCTACTGTTCATGCTATTTCAATCGTGTCAATTCTCATCTTCTAGACTACAACATCCCTTCATGGATCCCTCGAACCTAACAGATAAAGAAAAGATTTGTCAAGTTGAAACATGAAAACATATTCTCACTTGTAGACATATCCTAGGGGGGTGTTCTATCTGCTCGACCAAAATGTCTAGCTGTAGTATTGAAAACTATTCTCCCAATCAATGGGTCAGACAATTTGAACTTACTCAAGGCACACCTTGCCCTTACTTTCACTCCACCATTGAAGAACAAATATGGACAAGGATCACTATCAAAGAATCTTCCGATGCAAAACTAATCGGAGTGGAGAATGAAAAACTTCTACAAGGCTTTAGCACCTATTACTTCAAGCATGTTCCTGACCTCACCCAGGGTTTTCAACACTGGTGGACCCTTATAGCAGCAGTAATTTTCTCCAAACCTCTTTAGACCTGTCTGAGAGATGTGTCTGTTGACAATGAAGGCTCTGAACCACCCACTTCAAGCCTGAAGACTTCAAGTAAGTTTATCGTACCTATCAACCCACTTCTACATTACAGCGGTGGTAAGACACATGAAGCAACCAAAGGTACACTCACTAACTCACCAAGTCCATATGCTTTAGCAGCTACATTAGCAGTAATGTAGGCAGAGATCTTTCTGATATTAGAGAATGGTGGATATATCAAACCCTTGTCAACATTCTCTTTTGTTACTTGCTCAGCCAAAGCCTCCGCTGTTATAAGGAAAGTAGATGATTTAGATACAAGGATGAACCATTCTATCTATTTGTCGTGTTTATCGTCTAGCATTGCAATTTAATAGGTTTTGCCAAAAGTTTTCCATAGTTCTTCACACATGATTATGGGCAACCAGTGTAAAAAACTTATGTTAAAAGGATATCTAGAGAGGGCAAGATGTACAGAGACTATTTCAATGACTTGAACCTGAGCCGCCAAGGACAGTAATATGGCAAATCGCCCTTACAGAACCAGATCACACATCAAGGGAATAAAACAGACACAAGGTGTTTTTTGAGTTTACGTTCTATTGGAATTTGAGTAAACATCTCAGAACTTTTTCTAAAGAGAGTCTATTCATGTAGGACAGAATCTAAACCTTCTCAGAACTTTTTCTAAAGAGAGTCTATTCATATAAGAAGAGACAAAGGATGGGCTCACAATACCAATCTGAACCTTCTCTTGAATGAAATGTATATCAACCTCTATATGCCTAGTACGCTCATGTAGGACAGAATCAGAAGACAATATAATAGCAAACTTCACAAAATAAAGAAGCAAGGGCAGTCTCCTTAAATCCTAACTCTGCCAAAATAGAACGCAACCATAGAATCTCACAAGTGCCTTGTGCCATAGCCCTATACTCAGCTTCTGCAAAAGACCTAGAAACAACTGCTTGCGTTTTACTTTTCCATGATATAAGATGATCACCATAGAAAGTATAGAAGCCAGAAGTAGTACAGAAGCCAGAAGTAGAACGCCTATCTGTGAAGAACAATCCCAAGCCAGGAGAGGTCTTCAAATATCTCAAGATATGATGAACCGCATCAAGATTTTCTGTACGTGATGCATGCATGAATTGACTAACCACACTAACCACAAATGTCAAGTCAGGTCTAGTATTGGTCAGATAGATGAGACGCCCAACAAGACGCTGATACATACCTGGATCCTCTAGTAATTCGCCGGACTATGATGTGAGCTTGACATTGGGATCCATAGGAGTAGAAGCAAGTTTACACCCCAACATACCGGTATCCTTAAGTAAGTCAAGAGTGTACTTTCTTTGAGATAAGGAAATCCCCTGCTGTGAGCGAGCCACCTCAATCCCTACAAAATACTTGAGATTGCCCAAATCCTTAATATCAAAGGTACGCCCAAATCCTGTTTGACTTGACCAATGCCTATAGAGTCATAACCAGTGAGTATGATATCATCCACATACACCAACAAGACTTTACACTGACCTATAGAATTACAACAGATGAAGCCAGTATGGTCTAAATGGCACTGAACAAAGCCCACGGAGATGATGAATGAGCTGAAATGATCAAACCAAGCTCGTGGAGACTACTTTAAGCCATACAAAGACTTGCGCAATCGACATACTTGCCCCGAATACTCCCTCGCAGCTTAAAAACTAGGAGGAGGGACCATATAAATCGTCTCAAGAAAATCCCCATGCAGAAAGGCATTCTTGACATCAAGCTGATAAAGGGGCGAAGAATGGGATGCTGCAAGAGAGATGAGTAGACAAATAGAGGTAAGCTTGGCAATTGGGGCAAGGGTAGCACCAAAATCCTTGCCAGGAACTTGAGTGAAGCCCTTGGCCAGTAAGTAGGCCTTATCACGGTCAACGGAGCCATCAGGTAGGTACTTAATAGCAAAGACCCATTT